TCGCTGACCGTGTTCTAGAAACAAATCATTTCCTTGGGGAACACGACTGAAAAAACACTTTCACAGTCGGGGAGTGACATTCGTGACATGAGTTGCCTATTGTTCATATTGGCTCCTACCTTGAAGTGGCTATAGTCGGTGTGGACCTTGTGCTTCTTGTCGAGTTTGTTGGACACCCTGTCGGGAAACCATCCCTTGTTAGGGAGTCTATGGCCCCTCAAATGCAAAATATTATCATTGACGATTGATTGTTCCCCTTTAATAATCCCATAGTTAATAACACTGTACATGAAGAAACGATAAAATATACAGTAGCTCAACTAGCCCTATATATTAATACAATATTACTGCAGGTTGTACACAAAAAAATCTAAAACATACCGAGACAAAATTATCTAAACTAGAATGATAACGAACCAAATTATTTGTGTTTGAAAAGAAAAATAGTGAGATATTTAGAGAAATAACAGACACCATGAGGAGGGCTACTGAAAGACAAGAGTACGACAATTATAGAATAAACAAAAATATTACTTTATTAGATTGAATAACACGACTACTAAGATTCTTACGAAATTAAATCTTGTCTTAAAATAGATGTGGCGATCTTTCAGAGTAGTTAATTTATATTGTTATCACAAAGTTCAAATATGGTATCAATTAGTTTGTAGTTTATATGGAAACAAAGATCAGATTTACTATTTTTTCATATTATATTATATAGAGTACAACAGTCGTGCCGTCACAACACAGGTGGCGCCCTTTGTTGTCAGCCAGACGTTGGTTACCTGGCGTTCATTACGATTGAATTACTTCACATTTAATGGTTTAGAATATGCTTTCTGGAATAGGCAATTTAAAACCTAATCATTTACCATCAAAATGTACTAAAAACACAAAAGCTGACATTATAGGCCTATTAGTTATCGAACACACATTATCATCAATTAAAATTTTCAAAGAAAACAAAGAAATTGGGATTATGGTTTGTCAGTGGCGAAAATGGTGTCTGGTTGAACTCATTTTTGTGTCGCCGGTAGCAACGGAGTAGTATCACGTAGTATCGTGACGTACACTCTATAGTGGATATAAAGCACCAACCTATCTGAGCAGTATTGAACGCCAAAAGGGCGTTACGAGCTAGAAAAACTAATAATTTTATTATTTTCAACATAATGTGAACAGAGTATTGTGTAATTAACTTGTCAATGTTGTTATGGAAAGGTTTCAAGTAAGCATACGGTACCCCAAGGGAAAGTAAAGAAGCACACTCAGCCAAAATAAGGCGAGAGTGAGGAAAGACCCATAATGTAGCACTGTCGAATAGGCCTATACATATTAATAATTAAATTATGATTAAAACAGTGCTTAAACAAAGGAACAGTGATGTAATCATCGTATCTGACATGGTTTATAAACAATAAATTTCCTTATCAAAAGTGCATCTGGCGTGAATTGAAACCGCGATCTACAACACTAGTGTAATAATAATGATGATGATAATAATAATATTAATAGTAATAATAATAATACTAATAATAATAACTGGACTTACTATGTCTGTTTGAACAACAGAACATAGGGCTTTTCCCCATTGCTTTGATGAGAAATGAAGTTGAAATTGCAACAAAAATGAAAAGTCGTTAAAAGGTATAAAGTAAAAAAACACGGAAAACCAATATAATTTTAATGAAGTGGAAAAAATGAAGTGGAGAAAAAAAAAACGAAAACCAAATTCACTGCGACGTTATTTGTGAGACTTGAACTATGGCTGCAATGGTAATGGCGAGGTACATCGTGACTCACAACCATTGCTCGCCATATGAGCCGACCTTTGCATAGGAAAGTGCATTTTCAGTTCATAGCAATTCAATGACTGAAAGCAAAAATTGTTCATGCATATTACGGTAGTTTTAAGTTTAGCTGTAACTGGTTTGAGCGCTTTAGAAAATGTAAATTGCGTTTAAATAATTTAATCAATTGTCAACAAAAAATCTTTAAATGGTCCTCATATCCACACACTACTGCGGATCGTAACCAAAATTGGATCATTTTTTTATTTCACCATGAAAAACTATTCTGCAAATTTTCATTTTTATCTCTCTATAACTGAGACAAGGAATTTAAATGACAAGTCCTGGATCGTCCCCTACACATAATAATATGTTCCTTGTAACTTGGGTTAAATTGTCCCGAAAGTTTTATTCGGATCAATTGACCCGTTTTTGAAATATCTGTTTCGGGACGTTTTCCTTTAAATGGTCCTCATATTTACACCTTACGCCGGATCATCACAATCACAGTCATTTCTTTACTGGACCTTTACAAACTATTATAGAAAGTTACATTTACACCCATTGAAAACTTTCTATACATATTTCCGTCTGGGATCTCAAAAAATGTATATGACCCTCCAATGTACACCCTTGACTGATTCGTCGTTAAAACATAATATTATCTTCTTTGTAACTTGGTTAAATTTTTTCCGAATGTTTCATTCAGATTAGTTGATCCGTTTCCAAAATATTTGGTCTGGGACGTTTTCCTTTCAATGGTCCTCAGATCTACACCCTACTCTGGATCATCTAAAAAAATTAATCATTTCTTTACTCGACCTTGACAAACTGTTATACAAGGTTTAAATTATACCCATTGATTTAAGAGATATTTAGGTTTGGGTCTCAAAAAAATAAAATGACCCTCCTATTTATACCATTGACTGATTCGTCGCCAGCACATAATATTTTTTTCCTTGTAACTTGGTTAAACTTTTTCCGAATGTTTCAATTCAGATCGGTTGATCCGATTTTTAAGTATGTGGTCTGGGACGTTTTCCTTTAAATAAATGGTCTTCAGATCCACACCATACTGCGGAACGTCACAAAAATTTAATCATTTTTTACAAGACCATTACAAAATATTATAGAATGCTTCATTTAGACCCATTGGGTTTTTTTTAAAGCGATAGTAATAATAATAATATTAATAATAATAATAATAATAATAATAATAATAATAATAATAATTTATTGAAAATTTTCTTTTAAAACAAAGGCACACGTTAGACAAATCGGTGCGTCCACAAATTACTAAATGTACAGTAAAACATTGGTAATGTAAAATGGGTAAAGATCGAAAGTTTGATAAAATAAAATACTGAAAAAAACATTTAAATAATCAAAGGAGAATTTCATGTGTTTTCATCATGTAATGGAATAGTAAAACAGTGCGGTTAGAATTGCTAAAATGTTATGTAAAACGAGTAAAGCAACAGTGAAGTCACTTTGCAGTTCTTTCGTTAATCGGCAGTGTGTTTGATCTACCCTTAAATTTAAAGCTTTTCGATGTATACAATGCAGATCAATATGATACGCCCCCTCTTAACCATTTTATACGACAAAATGTGATCTCCAAAGAAGATACTTTTTTATATAATTACACGAAATGCTACTCGTGAGATGAAATCCAAATCTTCTTGAGTTAATGCTACATACATATAAACATACACCCATACATCCACACACATACACACACACACACACACACACACACACACACAGAATATACAGAATCTAATGTCGTAAACCATGATATTTCTTGGACCAAGCAAGTACTTGTTAAAACAAGAATTGCTATTCTTTCAAAAGCCATTATTGAACAACACACGATCCCCGACACGATCGAAGAATCGAAGCAAAATACAACGACGTTGTCTTGAGTAAGAAACTGGTGGGCCCACCTCTGGACACCCTACAAACAAAAGCACATGTAGAATTAAAAAAAAACCACCCCAAATTTATATATATATATATAT